ATGGGACATCCATGTCAAATTTCAATTCCTTCAAATAAGTAGTCATTTCCCAGTTTCTACTGCCTCTACTATGGGCTTGCTAAACATGACTATGAACATTTGATAGTATTCAGATATCAAATTAAGTCAAGAAAAGTTCCGGAATTGAGGATGGATTCGAATCAACAACCTATGTTTCATGATGCAGACATGGCAAGTCCAATTTACAGCTTAATGTGAGGGGTACCTCTATAATAGGGTAAAAGCGAGATAGTTGCCAAGCCACTTCTACACCAAGGCGGTCTTTTCTAGCAGCATGCTTCTTCTGCAATTTCAAAGGCAATAACCTCATATATCTATTTGGCAGGGTTAATCAAACATAAAAATCAGTTTAAGCAACCAATCAATACCTTGCGAACATCAAATTTAAGAGAAAATGGTATAATTGAGCTTTTTTTGGTCTCGGATGATGCCTCCAGCAACCTCATATTATACACAGCATTTGTATCCTCTTGTGGTAATCTTGCCAACTTCAAGGAAATGCAAGATGTGTATCAAGATGTTAGTTATGTTGTCATAAAAATTGAAGATAAATTTTGAGAATGATCACTCAGATAAATAAAGCTGAAGAAGCTTTCATTCACAAGTCATGCCATCCTTGTAAAACATGATAGATGAGTGATGTATACTAAAATTTACATAGGTATGCCAAAATTTACGTGGTTTGTCCTTGTTGTAAAAGAGGGCAGTTCTACATCAAACAGAGACTTAAAAATAAAAATCTACCCCTGAAGGGATTCAAAATAAATGATAGCAAATGCCAATTCAGCATGTCAATTACTGGTAGCAGTTTTGGCCCTGGGGACGTCAATAATAGCACTAACCTCCATGAGTTTTGCAATTTTTCCATCTTCAAACTTCTCAGGATAAACAGCTGCATAGATCATCAATAACCGTAGTTTATTTTCCGGTGTTACATCCTGCCAGAATAGACAATTGCATTACTAGTTAAATGCTGTAATCAATATGCTGAGGATACTTTTACGCAAATAATACCATTTTCACCTCTTTCATTCTCAGAAAATTGATAAGATCTTTGGTTCCTGCATCTCCAAAAACAAGATCCTGCTCTATTTGCCCGAGTTCTTTAAGCCCCATTTCCCGGATAATTTTGTTAATTTTTCCAGCAATCTGAACCAGTGAAGTATAATTAGCAAAAGGCCAAATTTCATCAAGGATTCTATCACTGAAAATATACTGTTTGTTCCAAAATTGCTTAATGTAATAAGAACATCCTTTTTTTAGTAAAACAGACTAAAGCCAGTTTTACAAGTAATCAGCAGGATCCTTAAAATTATACAAACTGCACATTCAATTCATATTTTCTTTTGCAGCTGCTATTATAATTGTATCATAAAAAAGACTAAAGATGACATTTCAATGCATATTATTATCTGAATCGAACTTCACTCATTAAAACTCAAACTTTTTAGTGATCAGTTTTGCTTAGCAAGGACTTAAAAAGCAAGACGATAATAGGATACAAAATTCAGACCCCTTTTCAAATAAAAAACTACTGTGTGATTTTTTGTTAATTTTTTAGCATTAAATTGCATATCATAGCAACCAAATGAAACCTTGCCTATTAAGTTCTTGAGATACTCAACATCTACCAGTAGGTATGTTTTTCCAACATTGGATCAGCAAGGCTTGAAAATAAGATGCTCTAGTTATTGCCATCATAAACAACTATTGCAGTTGCAGTTAGAAATAAAAGATACTAACATCAACATGGAGGGAGAGTTTTTCAATTTGTTCACTATATTGAGGCAAAGCTTGAACCATCTTTTGTAAGTCACGAGTAGACAAATTACCAGCATCTCTGCAAAAAAATGAATGCCCGGTGAGAAAGACCGACCGTAGCCAACAAGCACTACTAAGAAACAGAAGCAAAAAACCAAGCCAATAAACTGCATAAAATCCTGAAGCTAATAACCAGAATCTGTAACTCAATAGGCAATTAATAAAAGAAAATCTGTAACTCAACATGTATGTATACACATACATACATATATATATACATACATACATACATATATATACATATATAGATATATATATATATCTATATATGTATATATATGTATGTATGTATATATATATATAATCAATTTACATGCAACCTATGATATTTGGAAATTCAATTAATGTAAGAGTCATTAAATGCAAAACTAGATAATTTAGCAAACAAATCCTTTACATTGGTCAACGACAAAATATTCTCTCTTTGGAAGCTCTGGGATGCATGATGGACATCTCCCATCAAATATGATGCCTAAATTTCTTTCACATTATAAAAAGAAATCATAACATGCACTTCTCATAACATGAAGAGATGCATAAATCTCACGTCCAAATTAGGGGTCCACAACAGATTCCAAGAACTGAATTTCAGCAGACAGTTATAAGCAAAGATCGTTCACGATGCATAACTCGAGCCAACCTTGAACCATGGATTTGTGCAGCTTTGTTTTTTGATACGAAGTTAGTCATCTTCTCATGCAAACGTTCACTAGCCTGACAAAGCAACCATTGACCAAAGAAACTTCATAATTCTTGAAGACCTAAAAGGTGGATAACAAAGAATTTTGTTACATACATCAGCTATATGCGAATGGCGAAGCTCTAGCCAAATTGGGTCATGATCCTCCAAAAGGACCTCTTTCTTCTCAGGAAGACCACCTGTTCTATTTGGAACCTGTGCAGTTTCATTACCCGACATAAATAGGCTGAGAAATATATGGACAATCATGCAACTATGGAACATAAAAACATGAGGTCTGACCTCATGCACATATTTATTTCCTTCCATATTAAGTAAATCATGGCACATGGCGTCATATGTCCATTCATGTATGATTGGAGCAATCTGCATATGAAAATAGATACGTTAAGCATGATGACTACAAAATTGGATTTCATGACTCTGTTAATAAAAAAAAAATATGACAATAAGAACCTGGTCTATTGATCTATCCAGGATGAGCAACTCGCATGTCTCTGACTGGGGGAAGTTTGGGAGGTTTTTGTATTTCATGAGACAATTCCAAACGCCAGCAGCAAGTTTTGTAGGAATTAGATCTTGAAATGTTGTCATTGTGTTAGGATCAAGGGATTTGGCAGCACGGTAGCGTACTAATGGAAACTCCTGTTAGAGGACAACATTATGTAAGCCTTGGAGACAATCGTGAATATGTATGTACTGGATAAGCACTTAACTCCATACCCGCAATGATGCAAAGACTGTAGCTATACGAGTGGCCATCAAATTCAAACATGCATCGCCTTTGCGAGAACTTTCTTCCTCCCCGAAGAGTTCCTCAAGAGCTTTCTCATTATCAGTGACGAAACCCTACAGTTATATTTATTTTGCCATTACATGTAACGAACAATCTTGTTGAAAATTTCTGCTAATTTGGAACCATGCAAGAGAATGAGATTTAAATGAGTAGAAAGAATAGAGAAGCAAAAAATGTCACAAGTGATGAGAGACTGTGGAAGGGGAAAGGTAATTGTAGTGACATATGAAATAAGGATTGGTAAAGTTTAGCAACAAGGTTGTCGAATCAAGATCGTTATTTTGACTTGGACTGGTGAAAGGGGTCTTGCAGATTGCATCGTTTAATCGGATTGAGGACTGTAAGGTCTACTAGATATTAATAATTAAAATATTAAAATGGAAAAGCATTGAATATTCTTAACAACAAACTAACAACCATAACTAACTAAAATAAATCAATAAACCAAGGTTGCAACTACTTTATAAAGGCACATAATATGTTAAAACTCAAACAAGATGCCAAAATTAAACCAATAAATTTTCAAACATGTCAATCATCAAAAATAAAGTTTATAACATTGTTTTCTTAATCGTCTATCGAAAAACGATCAGTCTTTCTCAAAATTTTCATTATGAGCCGTTTTCATAAATTTAAAAAATCCCATCACCTGAATTGGTATGTATGCAAAACAATTTAATATTACACTTCATAAAATTTGCAGTTTTTTATGATTGATCCTACAAGTTTGTGATTTCCAAGTGGTCCACATCGTTTTAGCATTTGGGGCTGTAGAACCCAGTTATTGAGATGGTGCAATCCAGATAGTAATTTTAACCACCTTGTTCAGCAACACATTTCCCCTCTCCCTTTCCCAGCTCCAGAGAAGCAAAAATATTCTGATAAAGAAATTACTCAGTGTGGTAGCAATTCATAGGTAGTCTTTTTTTATGAGTAGCGGAGAAAACCTCCTTATGGTCGGTGATTAGGTGTTGCATCATTTTACTAATATCAAATACGTATTTCTTATCACTGGCTAAAAATATAAAATAAAATAAAAGGTTAAGAACTCCAAGTTGCTTTTTCTCTCCTTTTATCATGATGAAGGAATATCTAAACAATAGCAGAAATCCAAATGAAGACAAGACTCTGCAGGATAATGTACCTGACTATCTATGGGAAAATACTCCAAGTTCATCTGCATATTTAAGAACGAAAATGAGAACAAAACCAAATATAGCACTACTAGTACTAAATAAAGCTAGAATATCAGAGTAGATTTTGGATGTAAATATAACCTCTCTTAAGGCACCTATGCGAGACATAACACCTCTGTCCCTCTTTATGTGATTAACCAATTCTCGGGTAACAGGTGAACTAAAGAAGACAAATGCCCTAATAACAGAACAAATAAGGGGAAAGAGAGAGAGAGAGCAAGAGAGTAGAAGTAATCAAATCAGACCCAAAATTATTTCCCTGTTGATTTCAAAAATTTGCAAAACAACAAGACAAATAGGAAAGATAAAAAAATATTTAGCGTACTTTTTGTACAATGGCGATTTTCCAGACATATCGGAGAGGAACATGACAACGCTGCATACAAAATAAAAAATGGATGGATGAGGAGGGGGTGAGAGAGAGAGAGAGTAGAAAAAATGAGAAAATTTATTGTGCTTAAATGAAATTTAACGGGATACATCTACCAAAATAAAGTAACTTAGGAAAAAATTGTTGTGCCTAAATTAAATTTAACAGGATACATCTAGCAAAATAAAGTAACTTAGTAATCTTTCAAAATTGAAGTGTTCTCAAACACGTGTGCATATCTTTGTATGGAGAATTGATCAAAGAAACAGAGAAAATCCCATCCCATCTTGTGCAGAAAAAACTAAGCGGCTCCATGGAAAGATCTCTCAGGCTAATATTTCTAATACATCCAAATACAAAGAGCAATATCCTAAAAGCATGTTGTTGAAGAACTATATAACTCCGTCATTCAAAATATCCTAGCCTCATATATTTCATCCATTGGGAAAATAATTACAAATCTTCTCCCTCCCAACTGAAAATTATTTTCTCCCTTTTCATAAAGAAAAACAAAAAATTACTAATTTACTATGGAAGGATCAACAATGTACAAAATGAGAATGCTGTTCACTATTCCTATGGCAAAATTCCTTGGCAATAACATGTAGAATTATGTCATTGTGTCTCACAATCAACACATAGCTATTAGAATATCTACTAGCAGGACATGGCAGTAAGAAATTAAGAATTAGACTCCAACTCATAATTTTTAGCTTGATTTAAAAGAAACAGCGCATTATGTACTGTCTTATAATATTGATATTTGAATTATACTTATCTATTTGTCCTTATCCTGAATTCAAATTTTAAAATGTGATAAAAATACTGATTGCTTCAATCCAGTTGTCTTAAACTTATGTGAGGGGATAATGGAAAAGTAAGATTAAAATAGTTTAACTGTCTGAAATGAGGTAAATTTTTGACATGTAGGCAGAGTGCGATTTCTGACAGGAGTAATGAACGTGAAGAAACACATAATAGAATATCGTGATGATCGAGAACCACCTAGAAGTAAACAATGCAGGGGAGGAAAGACAAGATGTAAATTAAATTCAAACATGACACAACTTTCCCAAAAACTCCGCTTGCATCCAATAGGACTTGCTTTCTATATAAGTAGCCACAGGGAGATTTCAATGCTAATAACATGATATGGCTGCTCCAAATTTGCGGTAGTTATTCATCTCGATCTTTTCAAACCAAATCCAAAGTTATTACCAGCATAAGGATGTTGAACTAGAAGTTAGAAAAGAATTACTTCTCTTTAGTTGGCTGGATGAAGTATACAGCATCCATGGTTGGCAGTGGCTGCCTTCGCTTGTATATGTCTTCCACCACTGCAGGCAACAAATAAAATGATAGCTTCTCGGTCTCAATATTAACATTGAAAAAGGGCACATTAAGCTGGTTCACAACACAAGCTATTATGATCAGGTGTAGCTGCAGTCCTCATTTGCATATAATTTGAATGGGTCAATCAATCCCAGTGCAGGCCTTCCAATTATTAAAGGAATTTCCTTAAAAGGACGACCTTTGTGGGCAAACTGAGACAGAAAGCTTTCACTGAGCATACAATGGAAGCAGTTTGCAGTACTGAAAACTACACAACACATTCAGAAATGGTATATAGTTTAGATACATAGAAAGGCTACCTGCAAAGCTTTGTTCTTAATGCTAGGACAAGTTTTCTGTAAAAGTTTGGGAAAAATATGAAGGATAGATATGTAATATCCCGAATTTTTATTACTAGTCGTTAGATAAAAATTAGAACTTAAGTGCGCTATTATTAAAGTCTAATGACCTTAATTACTAACCAATAGTTTGATGGCCTAAATGATGAGTTAATTTGTTAAATAAAATTATATGTAAAATATATGTAAATATGTCAATTATCTATGATTAAAGATTATTATTTGACCACATGCATTATTCACCACATTTTAAGCAAAGTAATTGCTTTGACCACATAAACTAAGGTAATTGATTAGACCACATGCATTATTTACACCAAGATTCAAGACGAGTCAATTGATTTGATCACATGATTAAAGGAATTGATTTGACAACTTTTCCAGACATGCACCAATTATGTTTTGACCATACCTAACATCCAGCCATTTTCTTTCAATTTTTCATACATGGTCCAAGAACTTGCACTATAAATAGGAGTTAAACTCAACATTGAACTATCCCTCACCAATTATTTACATTCTTCCTCTCTATCTCTATTACTTTGTCTCTACACCTTTACTTTTTCTCTTGTCTTTTTCATATTAAATTTAGTCATACACTTACACAATCACACAACCTCGCATGCGGCTCAAGGATCTCCCTCCAATAATCACTTCTTCTATCATTTTTGAATTATCAAGTGAAAGGTAAGTGTAGTAGTACGAATTGTTCTTTCATTATTTAAATTACAAAAATTTATGTTATGAATATGATGATACGAAAATTCTAGCTATGATTATGATAAGGGTGCTATATGTGTAAGTTCAAAGGACCGGAGTTTAGTGGCGCTACGCACAAAAATTATAGCCACGAAGTTCAGATTTTAATTTTCGTTACTAAGGTAATTGATTAGACCACATGCATTATTTACACCAAGATTCAAGACGAGTCAATTGATTTGATCACATGATTAAAGGAATTGATTTGACAACTTTCCAGACATGCACCAATTATGTTTTGACCATACCTAACATCCAGCCATTTTCTTTCAATTTTTCATACATGGTCCAAGAACTTGCACTATAAATAGGAGTTAAACTCAACATTGAACTATCCCTCACCAATTATTTACATTCTTCCTCTCTATCTCTATTACTTTGTCTCTACACCTTTACTTTTTCTCTTGTCTTTTTCATATTAAATTTAGTCATACACTTACACAATCACACAACCTCGCATGCGGCTCAAGGATCTCCCTCCAATAATCACTTCTTCTATCATTTTTGAATTATCAAGTGAAAGGTAAGTGTAGTAGTACGAATTGTTCTTTCATTATTTAAATTACAAAAATTTATGTTATGAATATGATGATAAGAAAATTCTAGCTATGATTATGATAAGGGTCCTATATGTGTAAGTTCAAAGGACCGGAGTTTAGTGGCGCTACGCACAAAAATTATAGCCACGAAGTTCAGATTTTAATTTTCGTGTCTCCATATGTATGTTATGATTTTCCGTGATTAAATATGAGATGTAAATTCGTTATTATTCATTTACTGAGATTTATGTCTCACATGTATATGTTAAACATTTTATAGGTAATTAAAAGGGGCGGGTTCAAGGCGATCAAAGGCAAGCTTGCGTGGTTGAAAATGAATAATGATTTAAGTAGTTAAAGGTTTTTAACGACGTTAATTGTACTTTATTTATAATTTGTTTTAAACCTTTCACATTCAAAAGATATTATGTTTTTTTCGTTATTTATGAAAGTATTATTTTACGGTAAATGTACAATGATTCCAAAGGTAAAAATTTGGGTCGTTACAACATAGTATCAGAGCGGGTCTGTGTTCATGTAAAAATTAAAAAAAAAAAAAAAAAGATTTAAAGTTTATTATATCACCACCACGCAATGCCACTTTTCAAGCTTCGACGTCATCGAATCAAGTAGAAAAACACGTAACTGCATTAATATTTAATGTTATGATCATATGACAATGATTATATTATAATCATGTTCATGTTCATGTTCATGTTCATTATGCTTACATACGTTTAGAACGTGCTAAATTATGAAAAATTAAACATGTTTATACACGATTATATGAATAAATATGTACAAAATTATATTTAAGCAAATTAAAATTTTGTTTGTGAAAATGTGCTTATTTACGTACAAATTTCTCTTATATGTAACTTATTATGGAAACTTCCTAAACTCTTAGATACAATAGATTTATGAATGTTTAAACTTCTAGTTATGAAATGGACAATTTTATGATATTATTATGTAATCTTAGACTATTAAGTACGTTAAGGAATATATATTAGAATAGTTGACCTTAGAAAGTCTCTCGAACGAATAATAGTCTAATTAGAAAAATCATACCTCAAAATATCTTAAATTATTATTATTATTGCTTATTGTTTGAGTTTTATTGGTTTGCGTATTCGCAAATCTGAATGGCTTTATCAAAAAAGATCTAAACTGTCTAAGGAGAACTTGAGATTTAAGTGGTCCACTTGTGACCCCCTTCTCTCCTGGAAGCCACTCAGACGAGCATTATTCAAGCCAATAAAGTGAAAACAATATTGCATACTTACTCTAAATTGAAGAAGATTTCCAAACTTCATTCTTCAATAACTTTTTAAAAATTTTCGATTTTGAAACCTTTATTTTAAGAATCCCTATCTTACGAAACTTCCATTTTTAGAAACCCTAAATAAAGGAAATTTTTTGATGAAGTGTCTAATTTGAGAAACTACCATCTTTGAAATCTTCTATTTCAAAATAATAATAATAATAATAATAATAATAATAATAATAATAAAATTCATTTAACCTTTTGTTTATCTTATAATATTTTATTAAGGCTATGGCACCTCGAGGTAGAAGAGCGAATAATAATAGCGAACAACCCCAACAATCCCAACCTAGTGGGATTGACCCACTGTTTGCTCAACAATTTCTAGCTATGATGAGCACGTTCATCCAAACTACAATGCATTAGCAAACACCACCACAAAAATCGACACCATTACAATCGTTGCCACTTCAGTCGCAGGCACCAGTGACGACAGAGGACAATAGGAATACTGTCTCGGTCGTCATAGAACTTTTCAAGAAATAGCATCCTCCAACTTTTGAAGGTGGTTTAGATCCTTTGGAAGCAGAAGATTGGTTGGCAGGTATAGAAAGGATCTTCGATCTCATTGACTGTCCAGACTCCAGAAAAGTTATATGCGCAACCTTTATGCTGAAAAAGGTTGCCATGCGCTAGTAGGACTCAACCTCAAGGTCAAGGGCTCGAGGACATATGTGGACATGGAACCAATTCAAGGAGAACTTTTTGAAAAAATACTATCCTACAAGCATCCGAAATCAAAAGGAGGCTGAGTTTATTACATTGATTCAGGGCTTGATGTCTATTATTGAATACGAGCGAAAGTTTGAAGAATTATCCCATTATGCCCCAAGCTTTGTAGATACGAAGCAGAAGAGGGCGAGACGTTTTGAACAGGGTTTAAGGGATGATCTAAGGCAAGCAGTGGTAGTACTTGAACTAGGAACCCACCATGAAGTGTTAGCAAAGACATACTTGAAAGATTTCAAGCATCACACTAGTAAGGAGAACAAGCAGCATGTACAGCCAGAAAACGCAAGTGGGAGGATTACAGGGGAAAAGGGAAGCAGAACTTCGTAAAGAAATATAAAGGAAGCTAAAGTGCAAACAGTCATCAACAGTATCCAGTTTGCGGGAAGTGCCAAAAGCGTCATGCTGCAGCGTGCCTCATAGGGACAGGTGTATGCTTTAATTGTGGAGAAGCAGGCCATGTGACAAAAACATGCCTCAAGGGACAGAAACAAAAGCAACAACAGAAGCCTAGGAATCCCCCTAAAAACCAAGCTAGGGTGTATGCGCTAACAAAACAGGAATAGAACAAGAACCGCAACGTCTTAGCGAGTAACATCCTTATATCTCGAACCCCTGCTTATTCTTTGATTGATTCTGGCTCCACTCATTCTTTTATATTTCCAAAGTTTGCGAACAAACTCAATATGCTTAGTAAACATATAAATACTACCTTAGAAGTTGCTATGCCCTCAGGAGAAGTGTTAGGTACAAACTCAATAGTGAGAACAGCTAAAGTAGAGATTGATGATAAATTCTTATAAGCAAACTTATATGTCTTGAACATGCAAGAGTTCACGTAATTTTGGGAATGGACTAGCTGTCTAAGAATCACGCAACTATTCTATGTTTTGAACGAGAAGTGGTATTTAACCATCTAGAGAAATGGAACATCATCTTTCCGTAACTAAGACAAAAACCTTACCTCGTATCATTACGGCATTGAAGGCTAAGAAACTCTTGAAATCAGAAGGCAATAGTGGATTTCTGATGTCAATAGTAGCTAAAGAACATGAAAACTGAAAGTGAGTGATGTCAAGGTGGTACGAGAGTTCCCGGAGGTATTTCCTGGTCATTTGAATGAAATGCCGTCGGAACAGGAAGTAGAGTTCACAATTGATCTAGTTTTCGGTTCCACGCCCATTTCTAAGGCTCCTTACAGAATGACACCAAAGGAGTTATAGGAATTAAAGGCCCAAATAGAGGAATTGTTGGGAAAAGGGTTCATCCGACCTAGCGTTTCACCATAGGGAGCACCAGTGATGTTTGTCAAAAAGAAGGATAGGACAATGAGGATGTGTGACGACTATCGAGAATTGAATTGAATCACCATTAAAAATAAGTATCCCCTGCCCAGAATCGAAGACTTGTTTGATCAACTACGAGGGGCCAGAATATTTTCATAAGATTGACTTAAGGTCGAGATATCACCAGTTGAGGATCAAATCTAGTGATGTCTCAAAAACTGCCTTTAGAACTCGATATGGTCACTATGAGCTTTTAGTTATGCCGTTTGGCTTGACAAATGCTCCTGGAGTTTTCATGGACTTGATGTATCACGTTTTCCATGAAAACTTTGACCAATTTGTCATTGTATTTATTGATGACATCTTGATCTACTCTCAGAGTGAAGAAGAGCACGAAAAACATTTGAAAATTGTGCTAGAGATCCTCAGGAAGGAAATTTTTTTTGCAAAATTCAAGAAATGCGAATTTTGGTTAGAACGAGTGGTCTTTCTTGGTCATGTGGTCACAGCACAGGGAATAGAGGTGGATCCCAATAAAGTAGAAGCAATATTGAATTGGTCAAGACCAACCAATGTGGGAGAAATTCGCAGCTTTTTGGGTTTAGCAAGATACTACAGAAGGTTTATTGAGGGATTCTCCAAATTATTAGGACATTAACGCAATTAACTCGTAAAGGTGTAAAGTTTGAATGGACAGAGAAATGTGAATGCAGTTTTGAGGAATTAAAGAAGAGGTTAATCAATGCCTCCAGTTTTAACCATACCTAGAGAATCGAAAGGTTTTGTAATATATAGTGATGCATCCAAACTGGGTATTGGATGTGTTTTGATGCAACAAGGCAAAGTAGTTTCTTATGCATCGAGACAGTTGAAGCCTTATGAGCAAAACTATCTCACAAATGACCTAGAACTGGTTGCAGTAGTTCATACCTTGAAGATTTGGAGGCACTATTTATATGAAGGGAAGTATAACATCTACACAAATCATAAGAGCCTCAAGTACATCTTTACTTAGAAGGAGTTGAACATGAGACGGAGAAGATGACTTAAACTAGTAAAAGATTAAATGTAGTAGTTAACGCCTTGAGTAGAAAAATAATGAGACAAGTGGCAATGTTAATAGCATAAAGGCCTTTATGGAGAGAATTTGAGAGATTAAGCCTCAAAGTGGTTGCTACTTCCTCTGATTCTGTTGCTTGAATTGCAGCACTTTTAGCTTGACCAACTCTCCATGATCGAGATTAAGAGTCATTAAAAGGTTAACCAATCCTTTGAGCTCATCAAAACTGAGATTAACACAGAGAAGATGAAAGATTTCACCATAGCTTAAGATAGTGCACTTTGTAATCAAGGACACCTGTGTGTACTAGATTTTGAATAATTGAAAACTGAAATCTTCGACAAAGCCCACTTTGCTCCTTATTCTGTACATACAGGAAGTACAAATATGTATAAGTGAAAGCCGAACATTAGCGACCATCAGGATTGTTGCAATCGTTGGAAGTTCCAAAATGGAAATGGGAGCATGTGGCAATGGACTTTGTTGTAGGCTTTCCAAAGTCAGTAAAAGGACACGAGGCTCTTTGGGTAATTGTCGATTGTTTAACCAAGTCCGCCCATTTTCTACCTGTTCGCATGGCATTCTCATGTCTCCATATGTATGTTATGATTTTTCATGATTAAATATGAGATGAAAATTCGTTATTACTCATTTACTGAGATTTATGTCTCACATGTATATGTTAAATATTTTATAGGTAATTAAAAGAAGCGGGTTCAAGGCGATTGGAAGTGGATTGTGCTTGCGTGGTTGAAAATGAATAATGATTTAAGTAGTTAAAGATTTTTGACGACGTTTACTGTACTTTCTTTAAAATTTGTTTTAAACCTTTCACATTCAAAAGATATTATGTTATTTTCATTATTTATAAAATTATTATTTTACGATACATGTATAATGATTCCAAAGGTAAAAATTTGGGTCGATTACAAGATATCTCAGGAAAAATGTAAAATGTAAAATGTAAGAGATAATGATGAAGAAGGCACCAAGAAAGTCATGGCCAATATTGTTAAAGAAAACTAGAAGATAGGGCAAACCATGTGCACCCCAGGAAATCATTGAATTGTTCACTCATAGAAACTGTGTTAGGTCATGCCATTTAAACCTACATGAACACTTCTTCCAAAGTTTAGATATTCAAAATATTACCCTAATAATTCCATGAATCATCACAATAGAAAGGTATAATTAAATCCATCAAGAAAGAAATGATTGCAGTTCTTAATTTAAATGAAAAAAAAAAAAGAACAGAGAAGAAAAACTCATTTATTTTTTTTCTTATGGTACCAGAAGCACTTCTATGGTAGCACCAAAATTTGGAACAAGATGAAGTAACGTAATGCTCAGAATAGTTAGCCATTTGTTGAATATCATTTACAAGCTACACAATCGTAAGAAACATGGTAAAATGTATCACAGTTGCAGGGGAGTCAGCACAATGCCATGCAAAAAAAAAAAAAAGGTCCCCCCGGGGGGGGGGGGGGGGGGGGGGGGGGGGGGTACAGGATATATTTTTCTTAGAATGTTTTTGCATCTTACGTGAAACTCCTTCATCAGTGATATCTGACATCTTGCATGCATTAGAGATTATTTTAAGAGTAACCTTGTCCATGATGAGTACCTACAGGTCAAAGCATCGAAACTGAAAGTTGGTCTACAAGAAAAGGAAAACAACTAGAAAGAGGGAAAAAGTATATAAAAATAGAAAAAATTAATTATAGAGGGCTCCTCTAAAAATTTAGCGTCCAGCAAATATACTCAAGACTAGAAGCAATATTCTTGAATGGGGGGACTAGAATTCGACGAGTTTGTAAAAACAACTTGACATCAGAAGAAAAGAGTCAGGTTTTAGCAAATCAAAGGACTCTAATTAATCTTAATAACAGGAAAACTAACCCAATTAAAAAAATCAATTGCAAAGATAACTTCTGAATCAAGCTGAATGATCTCTTATTTGGTGAATGTTAACCGTTGATCTCTGCCCCCAGGAGGAACAAATAAACCTCAAATAAGAAACTCAATAGCTTTCTAGTTAAAATATAGTACACTGGCTAACTCTTTCAGTAGTGATGACATCCTATCATTTTACTTCATTAGGCTTCCTAATGCACCTCGTTTTCTTCTAAAAACATGAAAGATGCTCTCTCACTTTACACTGTGTACGTATACGAAGATACAAAACATGTTAATAAGTTTGATGTGTGGTTAACATTTAACTGGACGGTGATTTGACTTATATCAGTCTAGTGAACTTGCATCTACAGGCAACATGTGTGTCTGAGGATAGCAGAAGCCTAACAGGAGTTTTTAGATTAAAGGAAAAAATAAGGCACTAGTTGCTTGATCGGTTTCTTATTGGATAGTTGGCTTGCTCCTGACTTAGCATTGCTGTAGGTGTAACAAGCCCTGGAAGTCTTCTAAGCCACTGAACCCACTGCTAAAACCCCATTTTCCAAATACTAAAAGACATCTACATTAAAGAAGCTTATACCTTCCAACTTGACTTCGAATCCCCTGTTTTGGTCGATCGAAGCATTTCATTTAGTAATCCTGCAAAATGCATATGGATCAGTAGGCAAAATAAAACAAAAATTTCATAGATTCTCAATTATCAAAACTGGCAACAGTTAATAGATCTGCAAGCGCCCATCAACTTACAGTAATTAATATAAATAATAAAAGAATAAGACCACAAAATACATAATTTCAGTATCTGAGAATGAATTAGTACCCAAACGGACATGAAAGCCACAACAAAATAACATGATTCACAGGTCGATATCTATGGAGAGTACTTCCAGACCGCTACACTTAAATTTAAGGTGGAGACAATATCAAATAAATTGGCAATCTTTTTGAAATACCAAGCCAAGATATTCATCCAAATTGAAACCTTCGCGAGTGTTGTCAGGGTTAGCAAAATGTTCTTTTACTATAAAGCTATCAATATATTTGGTAAACACTGTATGCTATGGCAATCGTACGATCACAAGATGTATTCTTTAGCATTTCTTTAGTGGTTCACAGCCAAGGCACCAGAGTAGTGCAATAATGATAATCCTTGCTCACCGGTTAATGATGTTATTTTATTCATAACTTGTCGAGGAACTTCGGTGAATTTTTAAATCAAAGAACTTGTGTACTATCCTGCAGTTGTTTCCAATAAAACAGGAGCTGGTCTCTTCCAATTGAAAATGTCGAGAAATACAAATTATGCAAATTATCAAAAAAGTAACAACTACAACAAACTAAGTATAAGTCGTTTTCACAATAAACTTGAGATTTGAGATTTGAAAAGAAAAAGGGAAATGTAATACATATGCCAAGTTTAGCACTTATGGATGAGAAATTTGTGATTCATTATAGCTATCAAGCTGTAGAGCACGCATACCTACTACTGATGAGATTATTTCAATGCGATGTATATGAACAAGTATTAATGAATTTCTCTTCTTGTCTGTTATTATGTTACTCATAGAACTAACCCTCTAGCATTCACACTACTTTATCCAGAGATTCATTAAAAACACTCCCACATTGGAACTCCAGCTATCCACTATCAGATGGCATTTATAATGAGTCAAACCACTTTTATCCACACATTTCATGGACCACAAGTACTATCCACCTATCCATCACTTATTTCTATCTATTTATAATTTAAACATATAAGTCGTCCATCGGTTTGGGAAAAACTCTCCAACACAAGACATAACATAATCTCTCACTGAATAATGCTATAATGTTCTTGAATCATAAATTTGAAACAATAATACTAGGAGTGAGTTCTCTCTACGAAAATTAGAACATAATAACACTTGAATTCTTCAGACAAACAAGTTTCATGTATCAGTAGCAAAGGAATAATAATATAAGCCCAGTTACAAAAAAGCCACGATCACACCACAGGTTTATCACTATAAATAACTAATTCAATAACACGAACCATTAAAACAATACCACTCAATTCAATTACGTATAAATAGCTGAACTGCATCCCAAAAAATTTCCAGTGACTGTCCATACGCAGAACATAGAAGAAATGCGAAATTGGACTTACTGTCACGGGTAATTTGGCGGAAGTTCTTGAACTCGCTACCCTGAGACGACGTGTCCGAATCAGACATCGACATGATTATACAAAAACCGTGAAATTCCTCGAGCTATTACTATATCTTTTCCCTTTTCCCTTTGTGCGAATTGATAGATCAATAAATTCGACCAGTTTTTGTTGATCAAAATTCGTGAATTTCTGTTTTTTAGCGAGAGACAGAGAGAATTAGAAATCTTTCAAAAAAGTGATGTAATTATTTAAGTATATCCGGCTTCTTGCGGGTTGACCGTTCAAGCCGAATTGTTGAATTTTCTGAAACTATAACGCGGAGGGTCTGACCGAGTCGGACGGGTAAAATTATCCGCCATTGGACCTTTTTTTTAATGCATAATTGGCTCGGTTAAAGAGTTTTAAGCGGGACGAGCAACTAGTTGGCTAGATCAATTCGCCCCACAAACAACTTTAAACTTTAACATTAAAAAGTTTCACGCGAGCTTCACCTCATAATAGGTCATTGAAATGTAAATTTCACTAGAAAAAAGATCAAGAGACGAGCGAGTGGGACGAGTCAAGTCCACATTTGATGTAAATCTGTGATGGTGAAAATTAATTTAACTTCATGTTTAATTTACTTTTTAATTTGGCAAGACATGTTGAGGAAGAAAATGAGAATTTATAGTTTTTCTTCATTGTGCATATATAGCCCTCATTTGTTTCTCATTTTTTAAAAAATGAGAATGAAAAATATTGTTGTTACAGACCCCACATAAAAAATAGAAATTCAAATTTGGTGACTTGATATGATAAATAATGATCATATTTTTCATTTTAATGAAAAAATAATGTGAACCAAACAGCGGCATAATAAATTTATAAATATAAGAAAATATAACTACATAAGCGATTAAGGTGTTTTCCATACTTAGGTGTTATTTGAGAACATATATATAGCCCTCATTTGTTTCTCATTTTTGAAAAAATGAGAATGAAAAATATTGTTGTTACAGACCCCACATAAAAAATAGAAATTCAAATTTGGTGACTTGATATGATAAATAATGATCATATTTTTCATTTTAATGAAAAAATAATGTGAACCAAACAGGGGCATAATAAATTTATAAATATAAGAAAATATAACTACATAAGCGATTAAGGTGTTTTCCATACTTAGGTGTTATTTGAGAACACTTGGGGTGGTAATGGCCATACAAACTAAACAATGGATCAATTATCACGCGGTTGAGGATATCAGAGTTATTGAAGTGTGTTGACACATAAAAATTCAGCCCAAATCGAACGGCCCAAAGAATGAAGCCCAATTGGAGAATCCCCAAATCAGATAGCCCAAAGAACGAAGCCCAATCAAACAATTCAAGATGAAGGCCTAAATAGGGAGGCCCAAGAACGTGGTAATGCCATCGCCCAAGATTGCAATTCGCCCAGAATCTGAGCGAATGGAGTGTCATGCAGTCGCCCAGAGCTACTACTCTATTTTCGCCAAAACCTTCAAGTCGCCCAAAGTCTTAACAAATATAAAGCGTTGTGGTTATCAAGAAGTGCAGTTATCAAAGCAGCCCCATCATTCGCCCAGAATTTGAGCGAATGGAGTGTCATGCAGTCGCCCAGAGCTACTACTCTATTCTCGCCAAAACCTTCAAGTCGCCCAAAGTCTTAACAAATATAAAGCGTTGTGGTTATCAAGAAGTGCAGTTATCAAAGCAGCCCCATCACGTTCCACGATTCAAGGAATTCAATCGAAAACGGTTGAACGACGAAGAGTAATTGCAGCAATTAAATAAGGCAGTTTTCATGACAAGCTGGCCATTATGAAGAAAGTGGGCAGTTGTAGAACGATCAAACAGTTTTTAGGCGGTTGATCACAAAGAAATCGTCCATGAAGTATAAAAGGGAGAAAAGATATAGAGAAAATGACCGAATCAAAAACTCTCGAACAGAGAACATGTAATTTTAATTTCCTTAGCTTAGATTTAAACACTTTTTTCAGTAACTCGTGTGCTTGCGCCCCTTGGAGGCACTTTATTTTCGATTTCCAATTGTAAAGTCATCGCCAGTAAAAGAACACCCCTTTTTGGGACTTTGTTTCAAGAGGTTTGTCCCTTACACAATCGTCTGATCCCTTTTAATTGTTAGCGACTAACCCGCGCGAAACAATTTGGCACGCCCAGTGGGACAGTGATGTTTGGTGTTGAAAGTACAAAAAGTGAAACAATATGCCTCATAGATCTGATAAGGAAGCAGCAAGTCAGAAAGGAGTCCAGTCTGTGATCGAGGGATATGAGGAGCAACATGCCTCTCCACGAACAGATGGACAGAATCAGAACAGTGACAATCATTACGAACCAATGACGAAGTTGAGTCCTCGAACCATGCGTGCATTACTTGGAGAACTCACACAAGACGTTGTTGAACAAGTAAATCTTCGAAGTATTCATAATATGGAAAGATTTATCCAAAATGGGAATGCACACTATGACAATATGGCCAAACAACTAAATACTTTGAACGAAACAATGAATAATTAGTAGGCCAAATATGTCAACCGGTTATACCTCTTGCAAATCACTTTCAAACTAGGACAGTTGTGGGACATAATCCCTCGGTCCTAAATCCGAATCAAGGGGTAGAACCACTTTCTGGTCCCTCTACTTCAAACCAAGGGGATACTGCAGTGCCAAATCAGAACAATGGTAGTGGTACGCCTAACTTGGGGGGTAATCCAAACATAAGAGATAATGTCCTAAACAATGGACAGCACACCCCACGTGTTAATGAGGGAATAGATGTTCAGGCTAATGGTAATGACCCTAATTATGGTAATTTTGTTACCAATCAAGGACCAAATATCAGGCCTCATGCAAATCAACCGGTTAATCAGCCTGTAGGAATTCCATATGATCCCAACGTCATGTTGAGGAATCAGATTATGAAAATCGTACAGGATGAGATGGCTTTTGGGGTGCATCCCGTCGTTAGGCCGACTTACACAAATCTATATCCTGATTGGGTAGACCAAGCATATCCATAGCCTAGAGGGTACAAAGTGCCAGAGTTCTCATTGTTTACCGGTTTAGGAGAGGTGTCTACTCTAGAACACATAGGGCGATTCACATTGCAAAGTGGTGATGTAACCGATTACCATAAAATGAGGATTTTCCCTAGTTCGTTAATAGGAGTAGCTTTCTCCTGGTTCATCAACTTGCCAGCGAACTCTGTTCAAACATGGCAACAATTGGAACAGTTATTTCACGCTCAGTTTTATAAAATTGAGTCTGAAGTCACTTTGGCTAATTTGGCGAATCTACGTCAAATGCCAAATGAATGGGCAGAAAGTTTTTTCCAAAAGTTCAAGACAGCAAGAAGCAAGTGTTTTGTACCTCTGCCCAAAAAAGAATTTATCAAAATCGCTCAGGGCTGCTTGAGTTTTGATTTAAAGAAGAAATTTCAGGACAAGGAATTTCCTGACCTTTTCCAGTTGAGTGCGAATCTGATTAGGTATGAACGACTGATAAGAGAGGAAGAATAGATGAAAAATTATAGTAAAAGGACTTATTACAAAGACCCAAATTTTGATGTTCATACCATTAGTGACGAGTCATATGACCAGGCCGAAATGTGTTTGGCCGAATTGGTCAAAGGAGATACGTATACTTGTCCCATAATGGCTAAGCCTAGACCATCGGGCAAAGATGAGCCCATAAAAGATGGAAACATAAAGGTTAGAACGTTCTCGTTCAATGTAACCAAAGTTGACCTTATATTTGATTAATTATATAGGGATAAGCAGATAAAGTTGAGCGATAAGTACAAATTGCCAAACCCTGAACAAATTAAGGGTAAAAAATATTGTAAGTGGCATAATGCATGGTCACATTTGACTAACAATTGCTTGGTTTTTTGCCATGTATTGTAGGATGCTATTGAATCAGGACGAATTACGTTCGACGATAAAAAAAAGATGGCAGTGGATGAAAATCCTTTTCCACGGCCACTTGGAGTGAACATGGTGACGTCTGGATTCAAAAACAAGTTGCCAAAATTCAAGTTGGTCGTAGATAATGGAGAAGAGGATCCTAGACCACATCCTAGTGTCTTTGAACGAATCAAGGGGAAAGAACCAAAAAAGGACGAAGACGTCCTGTGTGCAAGATATAAAAGAGAAATAAATGGCAATACGGAGAAACCAGGGATATGGCAGCATTCCTATCGCCCTACCTTCTTCCCAAACACTCAGTCTGGTAGAGGGCGAGGTATATCATTCTATAGAGGACCGCCTTTGAGAGGCAGTTCAGGCTAGCAGATAATGGAAGAACATTCAGGCCGCAACCTCGCCGGCCAAATGTATGGCATTCATTCCAGTATAATGCAGGAAGGGCAATACCTTTCGATGAGATGACTAGAACCCAACAAAGGCGTTTTCAACGAAACTATGGACGGATGATGAGGCAGCAACAAGGAGTGCCACATCCTAAAGCGCCTAAACTACTCAAGGTAGCCAATCAAAATGTTCTCAAAGATAGTGAAGAGACCAGTACAGATGAATCAATGAAGGAACTGCCAGAAACTTCTTCTGGGAGATCAAAGTTTGAGCGGGACAGAAGGGATGGAGAAGATCCAGATCAGCCCCTTACCATCCAGTTCAGTACGTTACCTCCTGTCGTGGCCAATAATTACTTACTGGCCAATGAATTCAAGAATAAAGAAAAAGAAGAGGAGAGGGAGGACAATGAAGGAGAAGCTTGCGTGTTGGTATGTAAAGAAGGTCAGACTTCTAGAGAGGTCTACAACGATGAAGAGGACGATGGGATGACAGACATTGAAGAAGAAATCGACCTAGAAGTAGAAGGAAGAAAGAGAGGAGTATCGCGCAATACTCTGTTGAAGCAACTACATCGAGAGGGAGTTCGCGAAGTAGACTTGTCGGAAGAACCATCTGGGCATCCTTTTGATTTCTACGTACTGTACGGGACACCCAAAAGAAAGAAGAGAGTGCCTCGCTCTGAAAAGTATGGGTCACCTCCAAGAATAATGCCCCCTCCCACAAGTTGGGTAACTGATGAGGAAGCATTAGAAAAAAGTAAGAAGGAAGTTCAAGAGACAGAGGATCAGCGCGATATACTGCACGTCAACTTATCACAGGGGGATAATTCGATAGAAAACAAGCAGGAAGTAGAAATAGAGGCTACCAAAAAGGTTATTTTTAAACGGCCAACCATGAAATTGACTAAACACTTGAGGAAACACCTGAGGCCATTATATGTTAAAGCTCTAGT